GCTTCGCGCGCCCTTAGCACCCTCCTTCCCCAGTTCCTAGATACGCCCCTGCTCTTAAACTCCTCTCTTCCAGTAATCAAGTTGCTTTACTCTAGTCTCTTACTCGTTGTCTTTGCACGTGGTACCGTAATTATCAAAATTATTATTTTAAAATGTGTGATTATTATTTTTATAGACGCATAAATAGGGGTGACGTACGTGTACAAACAAACAAACAAACAAACAGGCATATTCGACTCGACTATGTGGGGCTCGCTTTTGTTCGCCCCAATAACTAGGCGAATGTAGAACATTGAAGGGGCGAGCACAAGCTAGCATAGCAATATACAATGTTTAGATGTCACAAAGGCTAATGTTGTTGTCAAATTGTAACTTGAATGATACACATGCAGAGCAGCTCAGAACTTGTGACTTGCATGCATGAAAGGAAATTTTATAGCTTGCTCTTCTAGCTTTATTAGCAGTGAAGAATCTCAGCTGTAACTTTAATAAGTATAATTTAATTTTTACTATGATATTTTCAAGCACAGTACTTTAAGACTTCTTTTCTCTGATGAGCCATTTGAAGTGCTTTATTCTGTCATTCAACCATAATTAATAAAAACTTGAAGATTTGTGTGAGTTTTCTTAAATTTTCTCTGCTGGCGAAGTGTCTTGACAAGAGATCAGTCTTATGTTGCTGCAAGTAAGATTGGCTAAGGTAGGCGCCATTTTTATTTCATTGCACTCATAGTACCACACCCACATCAATGAAAATATTTCATTAGAATGCTACCGCATTAGATCATTGATTTTTAAATAGAGAGTTGTGCACACATGGGTGTGACCAGAATAGGCGTGACTGGAGACGTACGTACATACATACCGAGGGAGGGAGGGAGGGAGGGAGGGAGACTTCGCCTGAGTGGGGCTCGCTTATGCTCGCCCCAATAACCAATAATCTTTTTTTTAACTAGGCGAATGTAGAACATTGAAGGGGCGAGCACAAGCTAGCATGGCAATATACAATGTTTAGATGTCACAAAGGCTAATGTTGTTGTCACAGTCAAATTGTAACTTGAATGACACACATGCAGAGCAGCTCAGAACTTGTGACTTGCATGCATGAAAGGAAATTTTATAGCTTGCTCTTCTAGCTTTATTAGCAGTGAAGAATCTCAGTTGTAACTTTAATAAGTATAATTTAATTTTTACTATGACATTTTCAAGCACAGTACTTTAAGACTTCTTTTCTCTGATGAGCCATTTGAAGTGCTTTATTCTGTCATTCAACCATAATTAATAAAAACTTGAAGATTTGTGTGAGTTTTCTTAAATTTTCTCTGCTGGCGAAGTGTCTTGACAACAGATCAGTCTTATGTTGCTGCAAGTAAGATTGGCTAAGGTAGGCGCCATTTTTATTACAGTACCACACCCACATCAATGAAAATATTTCATTAGAATGCTACCGCATTAGATCATTGATTTTTAAATAGAGAGTTGTGCACACATGGGTGTGACCAGAATAGGCGTGACTGGAGACGTACGTACATACATACATACAGAGGGAGGGAGGGAGGGAGGGAGGGAGACTTCGCCTGAGTGGGGCGAGCTTATGCTCGCCCCAATTATGGGTGTGGCTAGTTAATCAACATTCTTGACAAGCAATGTCTAAAGGTGAGTTTCTGTTTTCTTCCTCCTCTTTCTCATCATGTTTGTATTTTACAGGTATCTATCAACTGGGAGGGATAGCAGGACACTCAGCTCCTGTAGTAGGAGAATCAGTGTTCCTGTGGGGAGGGGAAAGGCCTGACTTACCTAGAGTTCATGATTCCCCACAAAAGAGGAAATATTTGTCCACCATTGATAGACTGGAGTTTAGGACTGGTCTTTGGTCCTCTCACGTGACCAGAGGAACGTCACCTCCTCTAGGAGCTTTGGGATACTTTTGTACTACCAGAAACAACGAAATCTTCTTTTTTAGTGGCTACTGTGGACATGACCTCTGCTACCATAATGATGTCAACTCATTTAATAGTCTAACATATGAATGGAGTAATATAATACCAACCAGTGATGCTGTAATGAAGAGAGCGGGTGGTGGTATGGTGTGTATGGAGTGTATGGGTACAGAATACCTATTTATGATAGGAGGGGTTGGTTCTACACCCACTACATACCAATCACAGTATCAGTATATTCAGTTGGTTAATGGTCGTATTCGTACTAATGAACAGAATTTATTAAATTTATCAACAAGTAAGTATTTATTAATTAATACATATATTAACTATCTATACTCTGCTTGTGATGACATATTTTTCAATCATTATCTTTGTTACCATTTGCATATTAAGTAGGTGCATGTAAACATTGAAGGAGTGAGCATGAGCCATCATTGTATGAAGAGACAGTTGATTTGACTAACTAATTTTGAGTTACATCAGCTACATAAAAGTAAAAATACAAAATTCAAAATGAAGCCTTCAAGCATGGATGCATCCTACTCCACCTATTAATAATTTGTCGACATGGTCTAATTAAATTTTATGATTAACGTCCCTCACCAATGCTTTGTGTGGGT